GGTTTGATTCGCTTCACTGACTGTATTTACTGTGACGATTGTGCAGGTTGTGATGTTTGTAGAGCTGATTAATCAACCAAAACCTACATTCAGTTTTTTAAAGCAAAGATACTAAAGCTGTGTTGGTTCCAAGTTTTCACATGTGAAGAAGTCAGATGTGGTCTTACATCCCAGTAAAGATGAATAATCTGGGTTTTTAGATTAACTTCATTTACTTTGGAAACAATGAACAATGTCTCATCACATGCACTTGTGCACACGACTTTTCAGCTCTTCATTTTTCTCTACTGACAATAAGCAAAAAATCAGAATCATTCAGCAAATTCATACACACTGTTAAATATTTAAAGGTGAAAATCCAACCATGTTATATTTACATCCACTGTGACTATTGAAACAGTTCCTACTATGAATAGATCTGAGCATGTTGGATACAACGGGACTTCTAATGACATCCCGCCTGCTTCGTGACTTATTGCTTTATTTTTTTTTTTTTACTGCTTTCTGATGTTTGAAAAACCGGATTAAATCAAGAAAATCATCAGCAGGTTAGTTGATAATGAGAACAACTGTTGGTTGCAGCCCTAATGATAAGAAATGTTAGACTCTAGACTGGAAGTGCTATAATCTGATGTTTATTCAGGCATTAATGGAAAACTGAAAAACAAAAATCCTTGAGCTGTTGCACAGATTCCGTTGTGTTTTTATGACATAAATCAAAATTCAGAACTCAAAAGAAGATTTTTTTTTAAATCCACGCACAGGAAGTTGCATTATTATTATAACACTACTTAATGGAAGGACAATCAGGTTTTCTTGTGGATGGGTGTGAATGGGAAAGGCTTATTGTCTGTGTGTGAGTCTTTGTGTGTTGTGTTTTTCTTTCTCTGTGGCTGACATCTCCATGGAAACATCCTAAATGTCGCTGCAGCCTTTCAGTAGTTGTGTCTCTCTGGGAATCCGGTGAGACGTCCACAGGATTTCAGCTGTTTATGAAGGTTAGTCGTTCGAGCAGATGCATCAACGTAACTGGCTCCTGACGTTACCAAGAGTCGAGGCTCAGCATATTGTACAGTATTAAAGTCCAAGTGTGCAGGGTAATGGTAAATTATTGTTATCAAATTCTGCCTGTTCAGTGTGATCTACTTTATACTGTGCTAAACATGCATTGCAAGCGTCTTAAAATGTAAAAGTGAGGATAAAATAGACTAAAAAGAGAAACATGAAAATAAGAGATTTAGAGACGGTAGTTAAAAAACACCACAATAAAAATGTTTCATTCTTGACCTTCAGAAATGTAGAAGGTCTCTATGTTTCATTCAGTAGATGAATGTGGATCTCGCCAACAGTGTGAAGTAGCGCTGTCAGGAGAACAGACAGAAGCCTGCAGCACTGACACGCTGTGTGTCCTCAGCAGCAGAGTCGCTCACCATGAGTGTGGATGAGGATACCCGCTGGCTGGAGTGGATCACCAAGCAGTTCGAGAGCATCGCAGGAGATGACAAAGAGATCGACCTTGACCAGTTTAAAGCTGCTCTGAAGGTCAAAGAGGTGAGATAGAGAGGCTCCTCTGTGTCAGATGGTCCCCCTGACCTCAGCTGGGACATGTGGTTGCGTCCTGATTCAATTACACTGAATTTTATTTGTATAGTGCTAAATTGCAACAAAAGTCATCTTTACAAATTAAAGAGAGGACAGAAACTCAGAGCACCATGGCCTCCTAGCAGCCTAGGCCTATAGCAGCATAACTAAGGGAAGGCTCAGTGTCACCTGATCCAGCCCTAACTATAAGCTTTATCAAAAAGGAAAGTCTTAAGTCTAATCTTAAAGGTAGAGAGGGTGTCCGCCTCCTGAACTGAGACTGGGAGTTGGTTCCATAGGAGTGGAGCTTGATAGCTAAAGGCTCTGCCTCCCATTCTGCTTCTGTGGACTCTAGGAACCACAAGTAAACCTGCACTCTGAGAGCAAAGTGCTCTGTTAGGATGATAAGGCTCTATGAGGTCTTTAAGATACGACGGAGCCTTGTCATTAAGGGCTTTGTATGTTAGGAGAAGGATTTTATTCTATTCTGGATTTTACACATGCTCTTGCTCTTAATTTGTGTAACATGTTACTGGTACAGTTTATCATGTTTAACATTTCTTACAAATCAGTAAATCCAAATACTGTGTGTGTTGTGTGCAGTCCTTCTTTGCCGAGCGTTTCTTTGCTCTGTTCGACTCGGACGGTAGTGGCTCCATCAGTCTGGATGAGCTGCTGAAAGCTCTGGACCTCCTCATCCACGGCAGCGAGACCGACAAACTCAAGTTTCTCTTCCGGGTCTACGATGTGGACGGTCAGTACTCAGAACACAAAGACAAGGTCTCAGTTGCTTCCTTCCCCTGCATCTCAGTTCCACCCACATAAGATTAATTAGATGGAACATTGTGGGTGTGGTGTACACTTTGTAATAATTCTTTAGTATATTACTTGTGTGGTGTAGAAGATAATTATTTAAGAATGTAATTATGTAAGAATGTTAACACTGTTATAATTTTTTTAGTATAATATGTGTGTGGTGTAGAAGAGAATCATTTACTGCTTGCAAACCAATGATGGTAAGATGATGTCATGGGGTAGGACTGGATAAGTCTGACTTCTTCCTACTCCATTCAAGCATGTACTAGGTATAAGCAAATTGATATTGGATTATGTGTAAAATTATGTGTGTTGTCATATCAACTGTTTTTACATGCTTGAAAGAATAAATCAAATCAAATCAAATCAAGATGCGAGGAGAAAGGACTCTAGGAAACACATTTATAAAGACATGGGACATCCTCTCCTTCACCTGACGTGTCCAATTACTTGATGTGTCCTTATAAAGGGGCGTGTCAGTCTTGGATAAAGCTTTCTGTGGAGGAAGCCCTCGTGTCCTCACTCATGGCTCCTGCAGCAGAGCCATGAGTGCAGGGGTAAGAGCTCTGGGACATCCTTGATCCTCGCTTGACCGGAACAATTTCCAGGCCGAACGAGGATCAAGGAGAGAGGAACGATCAAAAGGGGGAACTGGGATATAAGACAACAAAGTACAGTCAACACCAGGCACTCATTCAAGAATCATGAACAAGAATGTGAAAGTGTGCATCTTTTAATAGTCATTTAGCTAAGTGATGGTGATGTAGTTCTCTGGGTACAGGGTGGTGAGACTGCATCAGACTCTGAACAGTATTTCTTTTGTACATCCCAGTTGTCCATGTGGCTCTGATAAATCCTGATCCTGCCGTGTTTATACCTGGTCTCCAGAGACGAAGAGTTTTCTAACAGTTGCAGACTGATTGACTGTAGTGAATCCAGCAGTTTACATAAGAAACCTCCATGTATGGGTCTTTTCCTGTTACCTGTCTGAGTCCCAGACTGCAGTCTGGTGCAGTTTGACAGATACACTGGGATACACTGATACACTGTCCCAGACAGGATCAGGCACAAAAGCTGCAGTAAATCTGTCTCGGAGCATTTTGCAAGTTAAGCAGAGTCTTTAGATCTGAATGTGATCACGTGAGCTGCTGGACTGCCCTGCTCTGTGCAGTGTTACTGCCTTCACACTCTTCACTAACATCAGTTTTCATTGCTGGGCTTGGAGTGAATATCAAGGCATTCCCAGTCCAAATACATTTTTACATTTCTCCTCCACTCTGAAACAGTCCAACAACAGAAAACTCACCCTTAGACTCAGTTTTTCTTCTGGCAGGCAGTGGTTCTATTGATCCAGATGAGCTGAGAACGGTTCTGAAGTCGTGTCTGCGTGAGAGCGCCATCTCGCTGCCGGAGGAGAAGCTGGACGACCTGACATTAGCGCTGTTTGAGTCAGCTGACAAAGACAACAGCGGCTCCATCACGTTCGAGGAGCTCAAAGCCGAGCTGGAGACCTTCCCAGAGGTGATGGAGAACCTCACCATCAGGTCAGGCATCACCAGCACCGCACTGACAGAAGTGAGAGTGAGCCAGAGCAGCACAGCTGTGGTGTGACACCAGACAATGAGCTGAGACTCACTCTAAAGCTGCATGAGGCCGAGGGGAGCTGCACGCTGAGCTGATCAGGCTCTGCAGGTTCAACACTACCACACAGATGTGGAAAGGAACTCAGTACATTTACTCTTGTGTTTTACTGAAGTAAAATTCTGAGGTATCTGTACTTTACCTGAGTATTTCCATGTCCTGCTACTTCATACTGTGACTTCACTCCATGTCAGAGACAAACCGTGTAATTTTTACTGCACTACATGTACCTGATAACTTCAGTTCCAGAATCAGATGAATCAACCAAACCCAGTAGAACCATCAGACTCTATTGATCCCAGTGGAAATCCACCAGTTACCCAACAGGATGTAAAGTACTTCACAGTAAAGGTATATAAGGTAGTTACCATCAGCTCCACCTTTACCACCTGCAGCATTAAAGTGATGAACACAGTAATTAGTCACTATGATCCAGTATCAGAGACATTACTGTGACATGTGTACTAGTACTTTGGTAGTTATTGATAGTCACTGCCATCTTGGCTCTGTCCCTGGCGCCCTTGCCTGTCCTCTCTCCTCAGTGCTGCTAACTGGTTGAAGCCTCCTGATCTGGCCCAGAAGAAGCGTCAGACTCCTCGGTACCTGACCCGAGCCTACTGGCACAACAACAGCCGTAAGCTGCTCTTCTTGTGTGTATACACCTGCGTCACTGTGCTGCTGTTCATCCTGGCCATGCTGCGGCACAGATACGGGGGTCCCTGGTTTATGGTGGCCAAGGGCTGCGGCCAGTGTCTCAACTTCAACTGCACTTTCGTCATGGTACGGTGGCAGTACTGCAGCGGGTCCTCTAATACTAAGTACTAACTCAATACTGTAGAAATATTCCATTACAAGTACAAGTTCTGCATTTATAGCCCTGTTTAAATGCAAGTACTCTCAGCTCCATGTATTTAAAGTATCACTAGTATTATCAGCTGCATGTAGTTAGGATATCAGCAGTAATAGTACACAAGTAATTAAAGTATCAGGAGTAAGAGTAGGCAAGGCAGCTTTATTTCTATAGCACGTATGTGCTTTGTATTTGTTATACACTGACTGGTGTGTGTGTGTGTGTGTGTGTGTGTGTGTGTGTGTGTGTGTGTGTGTGTGCAGGTGCTGATGCTGCGTCGCTGTCTAACATGGCTCAGGACGACGTGGGTGGTGAGGGTCTTGCCTCTGGACCAGAACATCTTATTGCATCAGATCGTGGGCTACGCCATCCTCGGCTTCTCAGTGGTACACACCACGGCTCACGTCTTCAACTTCGGTACAGACACATAAATGCTGGTCCACAAGCAGGCAACAAGAGTTGTACAAATAGGTGATGTTCCTGATCGTGTCTGTGTGCTGTGCCCCTCAGTCTGGATGACAGAGAGTGGTGAATACAGCCTGTGGGAGTACCTACTGACCACTCGGCCAGGTATCGGCTGGGTGCAGGGGACGGCTTCGGTGACCGGGGTGGTGCTGCAAGTGTTGATCTGTCTCATGGTGCTGTGCTCCAGCACATTTGTACGGCGCAGCGGACACTTTGAGGTGAGACTCCAGAACTGAGGGACAGGTTTACTAAACAATGCAGTTTGTGTTTATTCAGCACCTAAGACAGCTAATTACAACAACAGGAGGAAAAATTAATTTGGTGTTTGATATCTTGAAACCTACTAGAGGCTTCAACCAGTAACTTACAAATGTATTCTTGGAGGTGCATGCTGAGTTTTCTCCAATTTTACACTCCTTTTCCAAAATGAAAGCAAATCTTGATTTAATCATCATAAATGTTGAAGCTGTCCATCCATCCTTTATCTACACCGCTTGTCCAGAATACGGTCGCGGGGGTTGCTGGACCCAATCCCAGCTGATATTGGGTGAGAGGCGGGGTCCACCCTGGACAGGTCTCCAGTCTATCACAGGGTTGACATGTAGACAAACAACCAAACCACACTCCTAGGGGCAGATTAGAGTTGCTAACACCTGTGGTCTTCATGCAGGTGTTCTACTGGACTCACCTGTCCTATGTGTGGGTCTGGGCTCTGACTGTGGTTCACTGTGCAAACTTCTGGAAGTGGTTCGTGGTTCCAGGTCTGGTTTTTCTGCTGGAGAAGATTGTGGGAATCGCTGTTTCTCGTATGGGAGGTCTGTACATCGTGGAGGTCAACCTGCTGCCGTCCAAGGTGCTGAACACCAGCTGGCTTCAGTTACTATCTAACACACCTCGTTCACACTTTACACCCTTCTTAGGGGTCAGACGTGATCTGTCAGCACTGCTGGTCCACACACTGATGTGCTCTGAAAGCCAAACCACATCTGCCTCTTTGTTTTTACTGTTTAAACATCTGATGTATTTTGTCACTAATGGAGGAGTGACAAAGAAAACAAAGTGAATAATTCTGTTTAATTTAAACTAAAACCCGTTTCTTGGCCTCGGGGGTCTTAGCCCCTGTTAGAGTGCTGATGTAAAAATAAACACCAAATACAACTGAACTGGTGTCATTCATTCATTGCGGCTGCTCCTGTTAGGGGTCGGCACAGTGAATCCAATTCTCATGAGTAATTTGGAACAGTTTTATGCCAGATGCCCGTCCTGACACAACCCTCTCATTTATGCGGGCTTGGGATTGGCACAGAAGTCACTGATGTGAAACCCCTGTGGCTAGATACACAACCAAACTACATCCAGACTGATTCCTATTACTGGTTCCATTTTGTAAATGACTGAACTTCTCAGCCTATGATGTCAATTTGCATCCATTATCATGAAACTATCAGAGAAACTCCTAGTACAGGTAAACTGCAAGTTCAAAGCATATGCTGGTTATTAGAGCTGGAGCATTTTTGCTGTGTGTGTGCAGGTGACTCATCTGGTGATCAAACGTCCCCAGTTCTTCCACTTCAAACCTGGAGATTACATCTACATCAACATCCCAGCGATAGCCAAGTACGAGTGGCATCCGTTCACTATCAGCAGCCCCCCAGAGCAGCCGGGTACGTCTCATCTCTGCTTCTCTGCACAAAGGAACCTCAGTAAAACCCATCTGAGAGATGTGACAGCTTCAGTCCACATGCCACTGCAATTTGTGTCTGACTGAGTTGTTTTAATCACAGTCAGACACCCCTGGTGCAGGGTAAACTGTTGTTTGTGTGACCTCTGTCCTGCAGATACTCTGTGGCTGCACATCCGCTCGATGGGTCAGTGGACCAATCGGCTGTACGAGTACTTCAGACAACCAGAGAGGCAGGCGCTCAGCCCCAGGAGGCTGGCCACCAGCCTGAGGAACCACAGACAACTGACAAAGACCCAGGTTTATAAACCTACACAGTAACACTTATAAAAAAAAGTACAAATCAGTGTTTAACTAATGCATGACTTGTGGTGATTTAATGCATGAAATACTACAGCTGTCATGAATTCCTTTTAGTCACCAGTCAGAGGTCAGGTCAGTGTACAGCAGATCGTCAGTTAAGGAATGTTAATTCACAGTTACTTCATACATTTATTGACATGGGCTTAAATACAGTTGGGTCCTGCAGCAACATGTAAAAGTTTGCATCGGATGACCAGTGTGGTTAAAAAACAGTCTTTTCATGAAAGCAGCTTGTGTTCTGCCTCTAGATCGGACACTGAAATGAACCGTGTGTAACTGGAGTGCAGCTGATTTGGTGCCAAAACATGTAGTGAGTAAATTAACACTCCTCAGTTGATGATCTGCGATCTAATCACAGAAGGATGTGGTAACTTGATAATCTGTTAATAGTGAGTAACAGGAATTCATGCATTAAATCATCATGAGTCCTGCATTAGTTAGCCATGACTGAAGTTACAGTATATGACTTGCAGTCTTATTATAGTGTTACGACACACACACATCATTTTTGTTGAACGATGTGTAGAGGCTCTCCTCTGTGTGATTCTCTGCAGGAAGACATGTTCAGATCTACACATTCTAACAGAGCTGTAGCATCCAATGGAGACGATGCCATCGAGTTGGTGATGTACCGACAGAATGGCTCCCAGTCCGGTGTGGCCTTGCCCTCAGTGTCTGCAGCTCAGGGGCCGGTGGAGCCTCTTCCAGACAAGCAGGGCCCAGCAGAGAGAGGAGAGGTTCCTCCACTCAGAGAGGTAAGGTGGTCTTCACTGTTTCAGCCAAAAACACACTGGGCCTTCAGCTGTGCTTCTTTTTACGTCTTTCAAACAAACTCTGGAAGACTCTTATCTGTTTTCAGCTGCTTCCCTGTTTAACTTGCAGATTTCTACCAAGCTTGGGGAGAACCACATGTTCTGCAACATCAAGGTGAGCGCATGTACAAATTCATGGTCTCATTTGGGCAGCAGGGCGGCACTGTGACAGACCATGCTGGTTACACTTCTGCAGGGTGGTATCCTGCTGTTACTCTGGCCATCTCCTCTCTGCTGTCATATACATGCTCACATGTATAAAACTGATACCTGGTTACATGCACATGACCAAAGAATCATTCTCCAGAGGACATCTAGCTGGAAAAATTAGATGTCTCTAAGGCCTTAACTTTATGACTAAAACCACATTTCTGGTTCATATTGCGCTTGCTGGAGAAAGTTGCCTGCAACTGAAGTGCCAACAAACAGAATGATGTAAAAGATTCTATTGAGTATATCGGTTTTCACTGAAAACTGTTGAGACAGATTATCTGGTAAACGTGTGTGTTGTGTGTCAGTGTTATGTAGACGGGCCATACGGGACTCCTACAAGACAGATCTTTGCCTCTGAACACACGGTTCTGATTGGGGCGGGTATTGGGATCACACCATTTGCTTCCATCTTGCAAAGTATCATGTACCGGTAAGACACCACACACTCCAGTTATGCCTTTAGTATTACTCCTGATTCAGAGCACAGGGGCAAGCGTAGAACCTCCATTTCCATCATCATCCAAGTCAGTGCACCAGGGAAGAGGACGCCAGGAAAGGCTGGCTCTAAATATTCACCCTGCAGACATATGGACTGAACTCGTGCACACTCCAGTTGTACATGCTGTGATGTGTTCAGCATCGTCAGTTCAAGTGTGTGAGGGTGACGGATGAAAGGCAGAAAATAAAACCTCACTTATTTCCTCTTTTAACAGCACTGAGAATTTATGCAAAATAAACCTCTTCGTGACAAGAACCTTCTATGTTAAAATGGACATCTTGAAAAATAAATATCATGGTCGATATGAGGTTGTGTGTGTACAGTACTCGCTGCATACTGCATATGACCTTTGTCCTTTAAAACCTAGCAGAACCTAGGCCCACACGTTTTTTGTCTATTGAATCAGAATCAGCTTTATTGGCCAGGTGTGTTGGACACGAATAATTTGACTCTGGTACATCGGCTCTCAATGTGCATGTGCAGATCCTCATGCAACAACAAGGGGCACGTAAACAATATACCAACATACAGCTGTGTAATATAACAAAATAAACAGTGTAAACAAGCAATAAACAGTAAATAAACAATAAACTCCATGGAAGGCAGGCTTGCACCAATGACCTTTTCTGCAGTCCTGACTGTCCGCTGAAGTCTGTACTTGTCCTGTTGGGTTGCTGAGCCAAACCAGACAGTGATGGAGGTGCAGAGAACAGACTCCATGATTCCTCTGTAGAACTGTATCAGCAGCTCCTAGGGCAGGTCGAACTTCCTGAGCTGGAGCAGGAAGTACATCCTCCGCTGTGCCTTCTTGGTGATGGTCCTGATGTTGGACGTCCACTTCAGGTCCTGGGAGATAGTGGAGCCCAAGAACTTGTAGGACTTTACTGCTGATACAGTGCTGCCAAGTATGGTGACTGGGGATAAGGTGGAAGGGCTCTTCCTGAAGTCCACTGTCATCTCCACTGTTTTGAGCATGTTCAGCTCCAGGTTGTTGCGGCTACACCACAGGACCAGCGGCTCAACCTCCCATCTCTAGGCTGACTTGTCGCCATCTCGGATGAGCCCAATGACTGTTGTATCATCAGCAAACCTTATGAGCTTCACAGGGCGGTCCTTTGTGATGCAGTTGTTGGTGTAGAGTGAAAACAGCAGAGGGGAGAGCAC